CTGGTCGATTTGCGGCCAGGATTGCACCGTCAATGATGCAAAAGAAGGAAACACACTGGAAGGACAAACGTGGGCCGCACACGCAACCCATGCAACCACCAAATCATGATCATACCCATGCTTACGAAAAACCAATCCTCGAGTCCCTTGATTTCATGCACTTGCAATCCATGTGTGAACTTTGGTTTCCACTGGACTTGCATGGGGGTTGTCGATTATGTTGGCTTGTCGATTAAGAGCTATATAATTTGACATGATTAGCATCCGCCAACCCCGGTGGGAACGCAAAGGGAGCGTGTAAAGGGGAGCGAACCGAGTGGTGCGCCAGTGGTCCGGCTAAAAGCATGGTGCAAAGCTGTGGTGAGGGATTGGTTTTTGTCGGGTGTGAGGGACCCTAAGCTGTTGAAAGGTGCCTTAAGGGAAGGGGCACCAACAATTTTTTTCGGACTCAAAACCGGGTTTTTGCGCGGATAGGTTTTTGAGATGGTCTTAGGTAAGGTGCTGAGAAATGTTAACAGGGACTGGCTTTTCAGAATAGCATGGGGGAAAGCTGTTTGATGCTTCATGGGTTTTTGGAGGGGTGTGGGCCTTGGAGGCAGTTGGGGAAAGCTGTGGCGAAGCTGTAGTTTTTGGGTTTGTTTTTTTTTTTTCACTGTTTTGGGCGCTGTTTCGGGGTTTCAAACGGACCTGGTAGATTTGGGGGCAGTGCCTCCCAAGGTCCTTTTTTGACCTGCTTTGAGGTGTCAAGGTTTCAAATGCACCCGGTACATTTGGCGGCCGTGCCTCCCAAGGTTCTTTATTGACATGGTTTGGGGCGCAAGTCTTTTTGGCCCTGTTTTGGGTGCCGTTTCGACTCAGGGTTTCAAACGGACCTGGTAGATTTGGGGGCAGTGCAAAGTGCACAGTGCCTCCCAGGGTTCTTTTTGACCTGTTTTGAGGTGCCAAGGTTTCCAACGGACCCGGTACATTTGGCGGCCGTGCCTCCCAAGGTTCTTTATTGGCATGGTTTGGGGTGCAAGGTTCTTTTTGCCCCGTTTTGGGTGCAACAACAACTGCTGCTACTATTGCCGCCGCTACCACCACCACTTGTTCTACTACTACTACTACTACTACTCCTACTACTACTACTACCACCACCACCACTACTACCACTACGACGGCGACGGCGACGGCGGCGACGGCTACGGCTACTGCTACTTACGACGACGACGACTACTACTACTGCTGCTACTACTACTACTACTGCTACTGCTACTGCTGCTCCTGCTGCTGCCGCGGCTGCAAGTACTATATACTATATATATACTACTGCCTACTGCTAATGCTACCACAAGAACAACCACAACCACAAGACCAATTACAACCACGACAGCAAGGACAACAACCGATCCAACCACCACAACAACAACAAGAAGAAGAAGTCAGTACAACGCTGAATTTGATTTTGCACGTAGCGTGGGTTTACGCGGTTTGCGCGGGCTTCCGTGCTTATGAACCCTTGGCTCCTCTTGTGGTCAGTCCACGACTGCTGATCTGCCCTCAAGCTTTCATTTCATGCCCAAACGCAAATGAAATTGCAAGGTACATCTTTGACCTTATCACGTTCAGCATATTTGTGATGATTCATGAGCTGCGGACAAATGAAACATGCTTCTTGCATTGGTTTGGTGGTCTTGTCCTCTTTTTAGTGTGTTGTTCGGTTAGTTAGTGTTTCAGGCGTGGCTTGGAAAACATATTTTCTTGATGATATCACGCAGTCTTACTCTCAGAATGACAAGTTTTTCTGCTATTCCCGAAAGCACCTGCGAAGAGTTCTCTGTCAAGAACGGCTACCAACTCCAACTGTCCGAACACCATCACCGATCATCACCATCTGATCATGATCATGATCATGATCATCATCATCCTACAGGCGCACTTAAATGCAGCTGATGGGGCCTATTGTGGGGGCCCCTGGCCGGCTGTCGGGCCTAAGCCCTTATATAAATGAACTCCGAACACCAGCAGCAAATTTCTCAACAACTTAAACAAGATCAACACACTCAATGTCAAAATCATGAAGTCACAACGCTTTATTTCAGCCTCAAGTGATTATGCGTTACATTGCCTACGGACTGCTTGATTTGACAAATCCGCATCCATACTGCTGGCCAAGGTCACACGGTCAAAGTGACAGCGAACAGGCCAGGAAATGGCAAATGAATTACCTGGGCTGGCTCGTGCCAGCAGGTCGTTGCACAACATAGATTAGCAAATCTATATACTCCAAATCATAGGAAAAGCCTTTTGGGCAAGCAGCAGTGTGGAAGAAATCGAGCAAAAAAATTGCGCATGTTCTTCTTGTCTGCACAACGTGAAATATTCCTTTGCTCTGAAATTCCACACCATCCTCGGGAATCAGTGCTATTTCGCTCGACCATTGAGCCCACGCAGTTTACCATGGCACACAGCTGTCCACAACAACTGGCTGTTCTCGGGTGTGCTTTGGACTGTCACATGAACCAGGCCAAACAATAGTAACTGACTTGTACACTGTACACAAGCAAGGATCCGAACATGTCTTCATAGGCATGGAAGAACCAAACACAGTTCAACGCGAGTTCCCAAATCTTTGTGTCAACAATGCAGCACCAGCGGGTTTGACACATTCTTGGAGGCAACGTTGCTTGCTGCGTAGTATTGCGTATATAGTGTATGGCAAGGGGCCACCGGGCCACATGTTTTGCAACTCAACTTCAACACACTCTGCCTCTTCCGCCTGCCGTCTTGCCTTTTTGTGGAGCAATTAGCACCAAAAAACGGACAAAGGAGGTTGCGGGCATTGACAAAAACATTTCAAGCTCAACATCTTATAACATCAAGCAACCAGCTGCAAGTTACAACCAAGAACGCAACCACACATCTTTAAGCTTTTCTAGCTTCACTAGGTAGAACAGCCCGCCTTTAGCAGTCATCAGTTCCAAGACCCGCAAACCGTAACCCATGAATGCTTGCCAGTAGCCTCCTACAAGCACAAGCAAACCCAGTGGCCACTTGCGGCTATGCAAATAATTGCGTAGTAAGTATATCTGTATATGTACTGTATATATATATACATAAACAAAATTAAATATATTCTCTTCGCCACTGCGCGGGTGTTGACAAAAGCTCTGCAAGAGTAATCTGTAGGTTGACAGCTTGAAAACAAACTTCTACGAGATTATCATCTCTCCAGCTGAATCTTTTCCGATCCTGGCACCTGTCGCCTGTCCAGGTTGGCTCAACTGTGACTAATTGACGCAAGCTAGCTATCTTCTTTTTCGGCTGGGGCTGAAGACTGGGAACTTTGGAACATGACCAACCAAAAACCCAAACATGCCTGCTCAAGTCTGTTGACTCATTTCCTAACGCTGTTTCATGCTGTTAAATTTGATGGATGAGCTGGCCATCCGCGCCAAGGGTCTCGATCCAATATGCGATGTATTTGTCTCCGACGCTGCTTCTTCCCGCTTGCAGGCTCTGGCTTTCCGATGCCATAGAAGTTATCCTGTCGTTGCATAAGAACACAAAGCTAGCATATGCTTGTTTAGTGAGACATGAGAGGAAAAACACAACTTTAACAAAAACTGCCAAACAAGCCAGCATTCCGAATCGGATGCAGCCGATTCTGAGCTTGATGCCTGGAAACACAACATGATAAAACATTAGAACACATCTGCAAATTCTTGCAGATGCCGTGACAATGCCACAAGCTCTGCAATGGAGACGTACAGTAAGTGCTCAATGTATCTCAATGTATCTCAATGTGTTGTTCCTCTGTGGTGCCCTACATTTACTCCTTGCAGCGCCTCCGGACAAAGGGTAGGTCTACGTCGTCGTCGAAAAATGCAGCATTGCATGCCCCTAAGTTGCGCTGCATCATGGTTTCTGATCCCGGCCATCAAAACACCACACAGGCATCTCGACACTGCAAGCCCCAAAAGCCAAGCGGCCAAAACAGTGGTGCAACGTGGCGTGGCTGCAGCGACTGTCAGTGCTTCCAGAAACACCATATCTCAAACAGCACAAGGTACGCTGAGGCCAAATGCAGAGAAGAAATGCAAGAATGCAGCCATTCTTGGTCATTCTTGATTACAGGCAACAGCAGATTGCTCACACGGCAAGAAACATGCAGTCGACAAACTGTGCAACGTTTCTGAGCCTCCAGAACTCGATCGGTAGGTTACAGGGTCTTAGGGTCATTGTAGATCTATGGCATCAAGAAAGAAAAAGAAGAAAGCGGGACTGGGAAACATTCTTGACACATGTGAAATCATGTGAAGTACCTGACATTGTTCCGCGCGGGACCTGAAATGCTTGACCATTGTGCGACTGGATGGCAGGTCTGGCAATGAGATGCAGCGAGTATGACCAATTGACTGCAAAGAATGCATGCGCACACATGTCGTAGAACAATATGCAGCATACATGCACAAACATCTTCTTGCACCGAAACTCTGAGGTTTTGAAGACGCACACCACCGGCGCAACTCCAATTTCTGCTTCAACGGGCTGGGTCTTTGGCCTAAGCTTCCTGTGCAAATTAGCTGAGCGACTTCTCCGGACAGTCAAAGGCACAAACAACATGCTGGAAACATGCCACATGCGCATCTCAGTTTGTATTGAAGGCGTCATTGCTCAATCCTCGGACAGATTGGTACCTACACATCCGATTTACATCAGTGCAATTGTTTTCTCTAGGATATGATCAGTGCTTCTACCCTAATATACCTGCCTCGTCTATCCTCGTCTTGGCATGTTGTCATGTTGTTAGTATACTTTGGGTTTCTTGCCCGAACTACCAGGGGGGCCGAAGGCCAAATACATCCTGTCATGTGCATATGTGTTCGTGCCTTGTGGAAAATGACGCGCGGTTGCTGCCGGGCTTCTGTGACACATCTGGCCTCGCAGTTTCCCTCTACGCCGTCATCTATTTTCAACTTGACATACTAGGCCTGATCTCGTTGAGATCTGCCGCTTCATCATCTTGCTGCAAACATCATTGCCGTGGAGTACCTGGGCAGGGTCGGTGAATCAGTTGGCAACCGGGTAAAGCCAGGTGCGTGCTTCAGTGCAGCCAGGATGCGAGTATGGATCGTATTGGGTCTGGTCCTCAATGCAACAGTAATATGGTCATGCAATGTAGCTGGTGCAGGAACGCTGGGGCATTTGCGTAGGTTGGCTGCATTGTCCTGTGGTCCTAAAGCCGTCCCAAAAAATCAAGCGCCGAAATGTTCCAACACAATTGGTGCACGAGTTGCCTGCTTGGTTTTAGACCTCTCTTCCACCTAAACAAATGATTTAATGGTGTCTTAATTGTTGCCATGTAGAAATTATTCTCGCGGATTTCTCGAAAATTCGTTTCCAAAGCAGCGGAGCTCTTTTTGTCAAACGAGCGGATGGTCCTCCCACTGCCCCCCAAAGGGTTTGCTCACTTTCTTCTTGATGGCTATCTATCTTCCTCCGGGCCTCTTCTTTCTTCTTCCCCTTTCTATCTGTGATCTCCTCATAGGGTCCTTGACTTTCTCTCACCAACTTCCCAAGTACTGGCCGCTAGCCATTCTACCTTCTCCTCTTCCACGTCCTCTCCGAACTCCGTGCTTGAACTGTCTTGCCCAGTGTGGCAAAACCTTCTCTCCTCTTCACTAACCATTTCAAAGTCCAGGGGAACACTGCCTTTCTACACCCAGTGACTTGTTTACTGCTGTCTTTGTGGCTTGGTCCGACTAGTTTTTCCTTGGAAGGCCTTCCACCTCAGAAGAAATATTTTCACCATGATTGCGAAGCCCTAGCCAGCTCCTTCAAACCTTGCTTTCATTTTCTTAAGCCTTGGTACGCCAGCATAAACGAACCTCAATATCCAGCGTCTATATAATTCACATGCATGGCTCCGAGCATAGTGTGATCGTTACCCACATTCCACCCTCGAACAAATTCCTTGGGTCCTCGACTACTACGACAGGCTTCCCAGCACCTTCGACAAGCAGCACATGCCCTAGACTCGGTCTACTTCACCCAACCTATATACCACCTCCTCCTCCAGCACCAGCACCATCACCGTGCCATCACCACCACCCTTTTCTTCAAACGCAAGCACTACGTCCCAATATGGCCGCTTGGCCCCTTCCCGGGCAACTGTCATTGCCCCAGCACCGCCATGCCTTCCTACCTTCCTACCTTCGAATAGCGACAGCTCACTTTCTGCCGCGCCGCCGCCACCCAAAGGTGCTCGCAACCAGCGCAAACATCCACCATCCAGAGTTAAAAGCAGCCCGACACTCAACATCCAAGCGTTCGGCTTCTCCCAATGACAGCTGGGACGGCTGGGCTCCCTGGCAAGAGGAACTTCTCATTGAGCTGCGCCGCCCATCTGATCCACAGCTCGCACCGCTCCAGCCACTCCGACGCCAGCGCCTGCCACGATCGAACAAGTCCTTCAACCCACACACCCAGCATTGGAGGACGACATTCCCAGCAAATGGTCCATTCCAAACATCGCCGCCTGGACCAGGACATTCGGCGACGCCGCCCAAGCATCAGCCCACGAGATTGTCAATCTCATTCAATCCACCGGCGCCACCGAACAGCAACTGAAGGAGGCGGCCAATAAGTATGGCATTCCGCTTTCCAAAGTCCAGCGGCTCCCACTCAAGAGCCTTCAATCTACGCCATATCTGCGCATTCCACAGCGCCTTTCCACCATTGTCCGTCAGGCCACCTTCAGTGACCGTGCTGAAGCCATTTTCAGTCTCGGCCTATCCTCACCGCCATCCACGCCTATCCATCGGGGACTCACCGTGTCACAGCTCTCAGCAATGGCGTCAGCGCTTCCGCCGCCTCCACATATCGCCACAACTAGTCTTGGCACCCAACCCCGTCTATCTCAAGCTCCATTTTTGACCAACATCCCACCCACCACGCATACCACCAGACAGGCCATTTTGATCCGGCATCCCACAATGTGAGCACAACCGTCGCGCAAAGCTCAAGCAACGTGCTGACAAGACACCCACAGACTACGACCAAGGCTGGATTCACGAACACCTCTTCATCTCCAAGTGGCAGCCCACACTTGACTGGCCTTGCATATCCCACCACTTGCACCTCAAAGCCGACGGTTGGCAAAAACACCGTGCCCACTTTCATCCACGTCTGGCCAACCACTTTCACCTCTTCCAAAGGCTCCGCCGTCGGCTCCGTACAACCCAACAACCAGTACTTTTTGCATCGCACAAACTCCAAGCACTCTCCACCCTTCGCAACCTTACCAAATCCTCTCGAGCTCGAGCTTCCTACGATGAACCCAAGAAGCTCCGCACCGGATTCTTCTCCAATCTCGAAGTTTAGTTTATGCCATTGGCCGTATGGCCTCCAGCTCAAATTTCGCAACTTGACACCCCCGCAATCCAATCAGCTGCTCACCATTCCGTTTCTTGCCCTTGACCACTTCCAGCGCAACACTCAACGCTGCCACACATCCCTCGTCCATCGATTCAAACACCACTATGCTGGTCCCTTCCATCTACCCACTTGCAAACTTCGTGAAGCAGCGCACCGTACCCTCCACAGCCAACTACACAATCACCGCCGCTGGGAATAGGTTTTCTGCGAGTGGATCTTAATCAGCGAAGTTTGAAGCTATCACTGACGGTCCATAAGCGGCGTAGCGTCGGAACGGAAACCGCACCTTTTCTAGTCACTTGATCCTTGAGCCAAAGTACATATGGTACATATATATGTACAAGTTGCACTGTACGTGTCGCTGCACTTCCATTCGCACCCCCCATGTGAACGGCAACAATATGTTCCGATCACACACGAAAATTTAGGGATGTAAGTGCTACAAAGAAATTGTATGATTTGCCGCGAGACTCATATGAGGCTCATACTACGAAACATGCTGGACTAAAGCGGACTTTTACATATAAAATGTGCAACTATGGCTCAGAACCTTTGAAAAAATCGAATTGAACAAGTGAGACAGTCACGAGGCCTCGCTCAGTATCCACTCAAAAGAGCATCGCTTTGATGTAGATCCGAACTGGTGACTTCCACGTAGATGTCACATCGGCAACTGACTTCACACTTCTCAAAAGATGTAGGTTTTGGTTTGGATACACTTACAGAACGGCAAGTCGGAGAGACAGTCGGTGATTGTCTTCCTTCCATTATGCTCATGGTATCAAATCAGATTGACGATTTGCAATGATACACTTACAGCGTTTCAGGTCAGATAAACATCCGGTGAATGATTTCCTCCCTGGTTTGCATGGTATCCTCATAGTCGTTCATAGAAATCACCACTGGTGATAACCTCTCCATCCACGATGATCCCAGCTGCCCTGAGCATCCCACCGATCATCTTCTCCCTTCTTGGACTTTCCCTTGGACTTGCTCTTTCCCTTCCCCTTTTCAGAAGGTTGAGGTACTTCGCGACGTTCTTGCGTTAGCGCCGGCCTCCAAGATGTTCCAGATTGGCCTCCTCCTTTGGAATGTCCTCGGGATGATGAAGAAGTTGTACCTTCTGTTGCATGTGCGTTGGCGGCAAGATCTTCCTGCAAAGCTTGCTCAAACACACCGGTAGCACTGGATGGTGATTTATCACGTGGTCTGGCTTTTGGAGCAGCCTTCGCCTTGTTCTCATCTGCTGATGAGGGCCCGAAACTCTTAGGTGCTGTTGAAGGTTTTGGCTCCTCACTTGGTGCTGACGACGGCTTGGCCTCGGTTCTGGGTGTAGATGCTGGCTTTGCCTCAGCTCTTGACGAAGATGCTGCTTTCGCTTCAGACTTAGTCGTTGATGTTGACTTAGCTGTTGCCTTGGCTGCCTGCTTCTTCTTGCCCTGAATCTCCTTGGCCCTATCTCCAAAGCCTAGACGATTGGTAAGAGCTTGAACATGCTTATGTTCTACCACGCTCATCCATCTCTCTGTATGTCCAACGTTGGGGTTTCTGGCCATTGACTCTATGACTTCCTGAGCTTGTGGGGGCAACCTGATTTCATGTTGATCAATGATCAACAGAATAGACTTCTCCCACTTGCTCTTCATTCTCGAGTACATGATGTCCAGAGGATCGATCACCTTGTGGTAGGGTGATGTAATGTCGGTTCTAAAGTAAGAATATGTCCGACACCCATAAATCGCATGGATGCACTTCTGTACCAATTCAGTCATTGCGCTGGCTTTCTTCGCTTTCAACTCCTCAAGCTGGGCATCAGTCAAGTTGGTGGAGTATTCGAAGTTGCCATATTCCTCCTTGAAGGATTGCGGAGTATGACCAAATGATAGGATCACGAGTGCCACCTTGCAAATGAATTGCTCTCCTCTGAATCGGTGCCAGGCCTCCTCAGTCGTAATATTGTTGTCGTTGGCAAAGATTAACATCATATCATCTGTTGGATCCAATGGTCTCCCATCGTCATCGATTTCAGTTGAATCCCCTGTACCGAACTTGCTTATCACATCCAGACGCTTCCTTTTCCAATTTGCTTTGAAGTCGGTAAGGCTGGTGCAATAGTAGCTCTTGTACATCAGGGAGATCATGTTCAGCACACATTTGACCACATACCTATCCATCAAACCCGATGCATTCATGGAGACGTCCTGACAGTAGGCTCTCTCTTGATGCGCATAGATTCGAGGTTCCGGTACTCGACAATAGATGGGGAGATCTTCGTTGTCTCTTCCTTCTTCGGGATTGAACTCGGTCGCTCCATGCTGTGCATAGTATCCCGGTTCATCACGATCTGTCGGTCGATTCGCCTCCGGATGTAAGTCGTCGGTGACGTCTTCATCCTCGGGCTCACCATCTTGACGTTTCTTCCCCTCATATTGTTGTGTGCTCCTCTGGATCTCGATGATCACGTTTCGTTCGTCTTCATCTTCTAGATCAGAATCACGACCGTAGTCGATCTCGTCCTCATTGAAAGATGGGGTCTCGACATTGTCACTCTTGAAGTTCTCTGCACCATCAGACGGTTTGGAAGGATCTGGATTGTCCATGTCCTCGTCGTCATCAGCTGCTTCAGTTTGAGCGATGTCTTCTTCCCAAGCCTTTCTGATCTCGTCCATAGTGGCCTGGTCCAATATATCTTGATCATCATGTTCAGGCTCCCTCTTTTCCTTCTTTTCCTCTTCATCGTCGCTCACAAGATCAACGGGTGAATCGGAAATGACAGTGTTGCGAATACCACACGAGAGT